CGGGCCGGGTCCTGCCGCCGCCGCGGCCGACTCGCCCCGGGCGCCGGCGTGGGCTCTGCGGTGGGAAGAGGGGCGCGGAGCGGGACAGGGGCTTGGGGCAACCTCTCGGCCCCGCAGCTTCCGCCACCACCACCTGACGTTTCTAAACAGTATTTTTGATTTTTAGAGAATTAAAAAAAGAAGGAAAGAAAGAAAATGACCCTCAGAACACTGGGCCTGCCTGGGGCTGACGGCCGCTGAGTGGGGGACTCCCCGCCCCAACGGGGCTAGTGGGTCCGGCCGCTGGCGGGGGGCACCGAGGTGACCCCGTGTCCTGCGGCGAATGCGTTCTCTGGGCAGGAAGAAATACGGTATAACTGAGGAGGCCCTGTTAATCTGGGGTTAAAAAAAACTAAAGTTAAAAATATGTTTTAAGTAAAAAATGTTACTCTTTTTCTTTCTGACACGTCGCTGGAGCAGCCTGGAGCTGTGAGAAGTGGCATTATAATTGGCAAGGGTAACGGTCCTTGAGCCCTCCGGAAGCAGCACAAGGCGGGGCCCCGACCACCCCTTCTCGTCTGGCAGCAGAGCCCCCGCCGCCTGCCCAATCGGCTGCGGGGTTCCGGCTGAATTCGAATCGCGGACAGTGCGATGGCGCGGCCCAAATAAATCAGCCTGGGGGACTGGCTGCGCTCTGGGGCCAGTTCTCCTCGAGGGTAGGGGGGGCGACGAGGGAGGGACAGCTCGCTCACCAGGGACTTACTTCTCCTTGGGTCTAAATGTTCCCTAGAGAAACGGCTTCGTTCAAGATTAGCAAATTCCAAAAGAGGAGGCACGCGACGAGGAGGGAGGAGCGGGAAAAAACACACCAAGGAAACAAGAGCTTCCAAGAGCCCGCCTGGCTACCTGCGCTTTTCGGGGGGCTTTCGCCAACTCTTGGGTTTCTCCGTAGTTTGGGGGCGCTTCCCTTCCCTATGCACCCCCGTTTTCTGCCCGCCTTTCGGGCCGGCTGGGGCGCGCCGAGAAAGCGCCGCTCGCGGGGCCTGGGGGCGGGTGGCAGCGCTATCTTCGAAAACGCGCCACTTACCCCGGTGCTTTCCCCAGCGCCAAAGTGGACGCGTTTGGAAAACAGCAAGTTGGAGGGGTCAGGCGGCCGAACTTTCTGTCTGAGTCAATTCTTCGACTTACACAGTTTTGTTTTATTGTTAAATTAACTGACAAGAAAAACATTTCCCATTCCTCGTTTGGTTGGAAAACCACACTAAAGAAAATAAAATTCGTTACTCTGCAAAGCAGCAATGATCTTTTTTTCCTTGTGTTTTAGGCAATGTTTAAAAAAAAAAGACTGGGAGTCTGGCGGGGAAAAATGCCAGGTCCCTTCCCGAGCCCTGAGAGCCCGAACACTGTCAAGTCGGTCAACGTCTGCCCCAGCCCCGCCGGGACCAACGCGCCCTCCCAATTTTCGGGAAAAGCAAGTCCCCGGGCTTCCTAGCTCTGGAAAGGAAATCCACACGGACACCTCCCGTACTTGCAAATATAAAGAAAGCACACACAGGGCTCAGGCTCGCGTCGGGGCTCAGTATCCTCGGGCTCAGGCTTGAAGGCCGTACACGCTAACTTAGTAAAAACATTTATTATTTGCTAACTCTTCATTGGAAATCACCTCACTGAGATCTGAAATTTTTTTAAAATTGTTTTTAATAGCAAACCTGAAAAGCATTATTTCAAAATATTTGCACTCAAAGGAAATCAAATGTCCACAGTATTTTGATTTACAAATGAACTTCTTGAAAAATCCACTGCACTTAGAAATTTGGTCGGAACTCACGAAAGAACCAAATGGAAGGCATTTGAAGCCCTGGTCGGAGTAGAGCAGCCAGCAGACTCCAGACTATCTGTTCTGGTAGTTGCTTTCGATCGAACTTCGGTTAAACTTTAAAGTCCCCGGATCCTGCTCCAGTCGCCAGTCTCCGTTCCAGAGTTTTCTACCTTCAACCTTTCCAAAATGCTGCCACGCTGAACCTGGGAGCCGCCGCGGTGATTGGGGGAGGCAAACGGAATGTAATAAAAGTGACTAAATTGGACAAGAACGGTTTATGGACCTCCTCAGTAGCAATTTAAAATTCAGAAGTGTTTAGCAGCAATTTACAACGAACAATGAAAAAAGATGAATTATCGCCAACTTCCTCGATTCCGCGCCCCCTCCCCCATGCTTCCAGGCTCTGTTCCCTTCCTTCCCCTTCTCCCTCCCCCCCCCCCAGGACCCACAGGTTCACAACTCACAGTTAAATTGGGGGAAGCATTCACTTGCGAGATCTCAAAGGCGCTGGTAAACCATACTTTACAATGCACCCACCTACCCCGGCTCAACTCTGCTTAGGCTCCTTTCCCGGCCCCAACTGGAAAAACACAAAAACAAAACAAAAAACAGCTCAGACGCTTTCAGGAAGACTGACCTTTAGAAAATCATTGACTTCGATTTACCTGGGGGGGAAAAAAATGTAAAAATCCATTCCCACAAAACAACTCCTCTCCTACTTAAATTCTCTCTCGGCAGCCTCTTGGGGACACGTATGTCGGAAGAAATCCTTTTTGTGAACGAAAGGGAGCGAGACATATATCACGGTTCCTGCGGCGGACGAGCCTGCGGTCGCGCGAGTCGTTGCTGACAGATCGGCGCTGATAACCTCGCGACGTTCATTTCCAGTCTCTTTGCCCGCTAAGGACCGTATCAGTTTGTACACAGTTGTGATAACCATTTGGAGGGAGCGAAGAAGGGGTGTGTTTGTAGGGAGGGGAGGGGAGCGGCGATTTTGCTCTGGATCCAGAGAAGGTGACCCCCCTCCCTTTCCAAAGACTTATCTGCTACTTACCTGAAGTTCTCCAGGGAAAGCTCAGAGCAAACTGGACATAACAACTCGGAGGGTGTCCCCAGGTACGCCGGGCGTGGAAGCACTTTAAGTACACTACCATTGACTAACCTTTAAGTACACGACCACCCCAAATTCAAAGTTCCCAAAGGTTAGCTAGGGAGTGGAACTTACCGAAACTCAGGAATTTAGTGTATTTTTTAAAAGCTGGGGAGAGCTAGGAAGCGGGGCACCCGAGTTTCGTCTCTCCCCGGATCATAGGAGCCGCAACCCTCGACAGCCGACACGACCACAGGGTTCCGAGAAAGGATCGGGGAAAGTTTAAGGTCGGTCACAAACAACTTCGGAGCAAAAAGCTCGTTTAACGTGGAGGGAGGAGCAGAGAGGGCCAGCGGGGCAAAGCACTTTTCCCTCTCGCTGTGGGGGCGCGCTGACCCAGAAGCTGGCGCGCCTCTCCCCGCGTGGCCGCTGCGCGGGGCTGTGCACAGCCAACTGCCCTCGTGCCGCCCCCCCCATCCGTGAGTGTGTGCGTAACTAGGGGCGCTGGTAGGGGGGCGCTGCAGCGGGCAGGATGGGGGTGGGTCGCCCGCCAGCCAGGTCCGGCGTTGTGCCGCCTCGGCCCCTCCCCCGGCGTCCTCGGGCCCCGCGCCCCCTGGGTGGACTCGCCCCCACTCCGGGGACGGCGCTCCCGGCTCGGCCCACGCCCGCAGGCTGCCCTGAGCTCATTGTCTGCCCGGGGCGGCGCGCTCCCCTCCCCCACGCCGTCCCTTCCCCACCCTCTTTTTTCTCCTCCCCTCGCTCCCTCCTCCTCGTCTTCACCTCCAGCGCTCAGCTGCTTGCAGAGCGCAGTTCCGACCCACAGCCTGGCACCCTTCGGCGAGCGCTGTTTGTTTAGGGCTCGGTGAGTCCAATCAGGAGCGCAGGCTGCAGTTTTCCGGCAGAGCAGTAAGAGGCGCCTCCTCTCTCCTTTTTATTCACCAGCCGCGCAGCGCAGACCCCGGACTCGCGCTCGCCCGCCGGCGCCCTCGGCCTCTCTCCGCGCTCAGGAGCACCCTCCGCCGTGGCTGTTCTCCATGCGCAGCGCTCGTCCGAGGTTCGGCTTCTTCTTTCCTTCTTTGCTCTTCCCCACCCTACGCCTCGCGGGCCGTTTGGCCTCGGGTTCTCCAGCGCTCTCCGGGCCGCAGTTGGCTCCGAGGCTTTCCGCCTCCTCTCCTCCCGGCGGTCTGTAGCGGCTCCCAGGTTCCCGGGACACCGCGGACCAACTTCTGGTGTCTTTTCCTCTCCCCGAAGCGCTTATCTGCGCGCAGTCTTATCTCCGGGTTATCTCGGCGCGAAGGGGCGGGAGCCGGTAGTCGGGCGGGCCGAGAAACTTATTTCTCGCTATCTAGCCAGGGTCTGTGTGTGGGCATTAATTTTAGTGTGGTTATCTCCAGTGAGCCGAAGAGACTTGGAAAAGCAGCGCCAAGGAGGCCAGCCCGACTGCATTTCGCTTCCCACTCCCCACCCCTTTAAAGGCTCCTGTCATTCTTCGTGCTCTCGCCTTTGGGGTGGCCTCGGCTCCGGGCCGGCCTGGCCGTTCCCCCTCCTCTCTGCCCTCCACTCCACCCCGCTACGTCTGATTCCGAGACGTTCTGCTCTTTCCGCGGCCGGGGATGACTACCGAGTGGGCTGGGCGGTGGGCCCGGCCGGGAGTGAGCGCGCGCGCTGGTGGCCGCAGACGCGGGCTGTGTGCACGGTGTGCCGCTCCCCTGGAAAGCGATTTGGGCGTGAGACTCCCGCATTGCGGGCTCCGGCACTGCCTCTGCCCGGAAGGTCCGGGACTGCCCGTCTCCGCCCTGGCGCCCCACCTTCCCAGGACTGCATTGCATTTCTCTCTGAGTCTCCCGTTTGGTCTCGTCGGCGCAGTCCGGGAAGCGCTGGAACAGCCAGTAAGGAAAAACGCGGCAGTTTCGTTTTGTGGGGCAGGTTGCCTTTCTTGCGCTCACGATTTTTAAGCTGGGAACCCTCATACTGAGGCATTCCAGGCGAGGGGGACCCGCAGGGAGGCGGGGTGAGGCCCCGCCGACACGCACTGCTACTTAAAGAGTCCTTTTGCGTGTCATTGGCCAAGAGGGAGCCACTTAGGGTGGAAGGAAAACCTTGGGGAGCCTCTCTCGTCACCCATGGAATCTGGCGCGGGGGTAAGGATGCTGCGAAGGGGCGGGAGTGGAGGGCTAGTGGACCCGAGCGGTGCGAGTGCGGGCGTTTGGCTATCCAGATCTTTCAGGATCCTGTGGCGGCTGCGCAGGCTCCATTCCCCACTCCCTCCCCCAACCCCTGTGTCCTGGGCCGAAACCGGATCTTTGAGAAGTCTCGTTAGCTAGAAAAAGAAGCCAGGGTGATGTGTTTCAGGGCCTGCGCTTTGGGTAATGTCTTTTTATTTCTGTTCCCCCCTCCACTTCGCCTCAGGAGCTAGGAGTCAGCTGGGAGCGGCGCCGGACCGTGGATGGCCTTGACTGACCGCGGCTGGAGCCTGCCAAAGCGCTTCGGGGCCGCGGCTGCGGACGCCGGCGACTCCGGGGCCTTTCCAGCACGGGAGTCCTCCACGCCGCCTTCCCCCATCTCCTCCTCGTCCTCCTGCTGCTCCCGGGGCGGGGAGCGCGGCCCCGGCGGCGCCAGCAACTGCAGGACGCCGCAGCTCGACACGGAGGCGGCGGCAGGACCCCCAGCCCGATCGCTGCTTCTCAGCCCCTACGCCTCGCATCACTTCGGGGCTCCCCACGGACCTTCGGCGCCCGGGGTCGCTGGCCCCGGGAGCGCCCTGTCGAGCTGGGAGGACCTGCTGCTCTTCACTGACCTGGACCAGGCCGCGACCGCCAGCAAGCTGCTGTGGTCCAGCCGCGGCGCCAAGCTGAGCCCCTTCGCACCCGAGCAGCCCGAGGAGATGTACCAGACCCTCGCCGCCCTCTCCAGCCAGGGCCCGGGCGCCTACGACGGCGCGCCCGGCGGCTTCGTGCACTCGGCAGCCGCGGCGGCCGCAGCCGCAGCCGCAGCCAGCTCCCCGGTCTATGT